CTTTCCTTTCCTTTCCTATATGTGTATGGGGCTCCGCTTGGCGGCCCTTCGGGCCGCCGAAGCTCCGCTATAACAAATGTAGTTGGGGTCCAAATATTTAACTAACCATTATAAAGCATTTTTCCACTCCACCTTCATATTTACACTTCTTAGTTGCTGAAGGTTGCCCCGAAAGTACATTTGAAGAGCAGCGAACAACTTCGGAATCAAGGTGTGAAGAAGAACCCGACACCTGTCAAACAACAGATAAAAGACAGTGATATCGATTAGTATTGTTCAAGTCTGACGATTGTAATTGGGTTTCAGATATTTAATGAATATTTTCCACTTTACTTTCTTTCTTTCAGCTGCTGAAGGTGGCCCCGAAAATACACTTGAAGAGCAGCAGACAACTCCGAAATCAAAATATGAAGAGAAACCCGACACCAGTCAAACCCGCGGTAAAAGACAGTAACTGATCAGTTAAACAATAGCCTCCATTTGGCGCGAAAATATGCTCAGATATTTGTCCGCGGACATTGTCTTTTCCGAGAAGCGAACTGCGAGCTTCGAGAAACAGACACTGTCAAAGGATAAATATCCAAGCATATCAAATGGGGGCCATTGTATGTATTATACTTCAAAAATGTTTGGCAACACGCGGGATTCGAAAATTCGGCAACATCACTCGGATGGTCCCCAGTTTTAGCTGAGGCATATTCATTCGCGTGAAGCGTTTAGACCAATCGTGTGATAGCGAAAATAATTGATGGATTATGATATTTTAATGTCAAGTTATTAAATTTCAATATGCAATTAATCGTTTTAGAAAACTGGATAAATGATTTTAATGGGTTTCATTAACACCCGATTACGTTTTTTTCAACAGTTAGCATTGTTGTTTGATTTCCTGCATTTCGTAGCTACTGAGCGAAAAGCAAGTGTTCAGGTTGCACCCTTGCGTATTTAGCCATAAAACTGAATTCGAGTACCTGATAAGAACTCCTCACGTATCCGGATATTCTTGAAAACGAATTTGAGTTGGTAGCTAAAACATCTTCTGTCAGTCTTATATACTTACTGTATTGAGCAACAAAAACTTTCAGAAAGTTAATTTTCTTATCTTTTAGGGAGGATTGCCAGTAGTTTAAATCAAGATGGGATGTCTGACACAGATATTATCGACACGATATCGTCTTCTGGCCAGCTCCGAATGAACAAAGCTCACAAGATAAAAGAACGCCAATCTTCAATTGGAGAGAAGAACGTACTTGCAAATTTATATTTAAATCCGCTATATTTGGCTGGTAGTGATCCCATAATCATGAGAACCCTTCAAATGGATACGTTCTCGCCAAACGAGGTCTTAAGTTTAAGAAGAAAGCTGGGGCCCTTTGATGCTGGTAAGACGAACCCTTCTGCGTTTTACTCGGATAGAGATCAAACCATTTACAACCTTATGGAAGGATTGGATATAGATTCCTTAGAGGAACCTAAACAGGGTAAGTTTTTGTGGAAACAGGGGGTGAACCAAGATGGTGTCTGACAGAGGTTTAATTATTTTAAAATACGAAATGTCTTTTCTACTTTGTGTTTAACCGAGAGAAAATCAAGGCACTTTCCTTGAACGTCTTTTGATTTAACTTATTTCTAGATAATTCTTTTTGAGTGGTTAGAAAACTTTAGATTTTTGCCACAACTCATCAAATCGTTTAGCTCAAGAACCTTAACTGCTAAACATTGTTGTTAGTGCAGGGCAGAATATTAGTCCCTGTTGGCTGTGTTAGGTTCGCACTGTATTGTGGTTAAATGTAAAGCTGCCATCTTTTTCGTAAAGTGGAGTGCTTAAGACACCTCGGAAATGGCCTATTTTGTTAAATAAAACTAAAGCGCGAGCAAGGAGAATTGGAATTTTCATAATCGAATGAAATGGTTAGTATCTTAATACAAAACCTTATCTTAATAGTTCTAGAACGGCGCGAAGTTAAACATAATAATGATAGCAAGACTAAAAGTAAACTTACAGAAAACAGTTCGCCCATTCCGATTGAAATTTATGCTTCTGTTTCATCTTTAAGTTCAATTTAAGTCTTAGCCTTAAATGCAACAAAACTTGGAAAAGTTTGGTTTCTTGTACAGTCCCACAAGTGAATTTTTGCAATCAGTAAAAAGTAGGCAAGTAAGGGGCATGGTCTTGTTATGATGCCCAGTATATCTTCTACAGCTAGGTGAATTTGTTCATTTTTTGTCACTGACCGATAAGCTTCATTATTATACATTGCTCTTTTCTGATTGGCTGAAAGGGTACAGTGAATTTTCGAAATTAGCGCCTGTTACGTCATCTAGCTGCAAATTACACAATAATTATGTCAAGGACACTTAAGGTCACGGGTAATCAAGTCATGTTTGACCGCAGTGCATGATTTCTAAGGGTAATCATGTCAAGTTCGCGCGCTTTGTGTTGTTTGCCGTCAGTGAAGAAGCAAAAACATGACATGGATATGACATGGATATCACAAAAACCTCATCCAATAATTGTTTAAAATCTTTCCAAAATGCTATAGAGAAAGGACAGTGGTACAGCAAATGGTTTAAAGATTCTAATTCGCTTTTACAAAAAGTATAATTTTTGTGTGAAATAAAGCTGCTTTTTAGAGGGTGGAGAGCGACTTGGCGGTCGGGTTTGCTCAGATTGATGAAATCTGTGATTGCCAAGGAAATGTCCTTAAACTGCTCGAAAGTCGAACATCGGTGAGCCTTTTCTATGCTTTGAAAACTTTCACGCCAAATGTTATAGCCCTCTTCTCATTTCTGGTACAGCATCGTCTTATATTCGCAGGGTTTCCGATTCAGAAACCCTGGTAAAACGCGATTTTACGCCGGCCATATTCACCCGATAGGGAGTGAATAATGCTTATTAGGCAGAGATAACGAACCGTTTAGATTGCTTGAAACACCTAGATCAAAGAGTGTGTATATAGTTAATAGATATAATCAAGCCTAAAATCGGAACTCCTGATTACAATAAATTAACCTGCCTTGAGCCTGCGATCCAGTCGGAAACCAATACCTGGGCAGCCGTCAACTTCAATTATTAACTAGAGTATGGTCGCCATGTTGCGCGACTTCGTCGTCATCGTGCGTACGCACCCATGAGCAATACCGCTAGCCATGATGACCACGAGAAAAGCAATTCGTTGGTTCCTATAGTGCTCCGCTTGGCAGCCCTTCGGGCCGCCGGAGCGCCGCTATAAATAACGACAAATAGTAATGAAACTGCTTTCTTAAATTTATTCTCGTTGTACACGCCCACGACGAGAAATACATATGATCATCACGATACGTGAGAGGCACCACTAACATGGAGCTTTAATTATTTCTCTATGGTAGATTTGACGGGAAGTTTGAAGGCTGAGAAAGGTACTATGCATCCGGAAAACGTTACAAAGGTATGTGAGCTAAAAATCACAAATTGCAATAAAAGTTAATGTTTGCATATAGACAGGAGCCATAATCGGGGACGGAGACCGTAAGTCTCGGGATTCGCGCGCACCTATGATATGGGACAATTTTTCTATTTTTAGAACAAATTGCGNTTCACGCCAAATGTTATAGCCCTGTTCTCATTTCTGGTACAGCATCGTCTTATATTCGCAGGCTTTCCGATTCAGAAACCCTGGCAAAACGCGAGTTTACGCCGGCCATATTCACCCGATAGGGAGTGAATAATGCTTATTAGGCAGAGATAGCGAACCGATTAGATTGCTTGAAACACCTAGATCACTGAGTGTGTATATACTAAATAGATATAATCAAGCCTAAACACGGAACTCCTGATTACAATAAGTTAACTTGCCTTGAGCCTGCGATCCAGTCGAAAACCAGTACCTGGGCAGCCGTCAACTTCAATTATTAGCTAGAGTATGGCCGCCATGTTGCGCGACTTCCTCGTCATCGCGCGTACGCACCCATGAGCAATTCCGCTAGCCACGATGACCACGAGAAAAGCAATTCGTTGGTTCCTATAGTGCTCCGCTTGGCAGCCCTTTGGGCCGCCGGAGCTCCGCTATAAATAACGACAAACAGTAATGAAACTGCTTTCTTCAATTTATTCTTGTTGTACACGCCCACGACGAGAAATACATATGACCATCACGATACGTGAGAGGCACCACTAACATGGAGCTTTAATTATTTCTCTACGGTAGATTTGACGGGACGTTTTAAGGCTCAGAAAGGTACTATGCATCCGGAAAACGTTAGAAAGGTGTGTGATCTAAAAATTACAAATTGCGATAAAAGTTAATGTTTGCATATAGAATAATATCCTAAGTAACCTAAGTAAGTTATATTTTTAAGTAATGCAGCGAAGTCTAGATCTAAGAACGATATTAGCCGATTTTGTCAATGATAGTACAATTTACGTCAAAATCAGCCAATGAGAAGTCATTTCAAGATGTTGTTAGTTTTGGTCATCGATAGTTAATTTGTTCATCGTGATAAAAGGAAGCTTTATGGCCCTCCTGTATTGCATTCAGAGTAGTGTTTTGACTTGGCTTGGTGTTTTGAATTACTCTGAGATTGACTCCAAGGCCGAGTTGTTCAAAACCCGATTAAACTAACCCAGAATTAGCGAGAATATTTTGATTTCAGTTTTGTAACTTAACGGTCAGGTTTTCTGTTTATATCGTTTGTCATTCAGTTTTGAGCACTAGTAATTAATCTCAAACTACACAAAACATAAGCAGTGAAAAATATTTTTATCCTGGTTTTTCGAACAAGCCAGCCCAGGGTTACCTTTTTGACCATAAATTTTTGTGATAAAAATTAACAAACCACAAGTGCTTCTGTTTACAAATCTCCCAAGTTCTTAAACTCACATGGTCTTTTGATAACCAAACGGCATTGCGTGCGTACAAAAGGACTAGAGCCTTTTCATTCGTACTCCGTTGACATTTTTTGCAGATTATACAATGGGCGAAATATATTCTGTGTGTACTATACTTGGGTTTTGGCCTCGCGGCCTCATCCAGTGTTCAAAGTTTTTTCTTTGCTCGTGCAGGTGGTAGGTATATGTATTCCCAAGAACACTAACTCAAGACTCTCACCAGTATACATTGCNTTTGATTTCAGTTTTGTAACTTATCGGTCAGGTTTTCTGTTTATATCGTTTGTCATTCAGTTTTGAGCACGAGTAATTAATCTCAAACTACACAAAACATAAGCAGTGAAAAACATTTTTGTCCTGGGTTTTCGAACAAGCCGGCCCAGGGTTATCTTTTTGACCATAAATTTTTGTGATAAAAATTAGCAAACCACAGGTGCTTCTGTTTACACATCTCCCAAGTTCTTAAACTCACATGGTCTTTTGATAACCACACGGCATTGTGTGCGTACAAAAAGACTAGAGCCTTATCATTCGTGCTTCGTTGACATTTTTTGCAGACTATACAATGGGCGAGATATATTCAGTGTGTACTGTACTTGGGTTTTGGCCTCGCGGCCTCATCCAGTGTTCAAAGTTTTTTCTTTGCTCGTGCAGGTGGTAGGTATATTTATTCCCAAGAACACTAACTCAAGACTCTCACCAGTATACATTGCCTGTATACTGCAATGAGAGCAGAATAACATAAATGCTATACCAGTCTGAGGTACGTATCGGAATTGGAATAAATTTATCAAACGGATGGAAGTTGGAATTCCATAGGTGATTCCCTTTTCCGAATTAGACCATGCGCTTGAAAGGGTCTCGCTGGCTATTGTTTCAGTAGATAATTGCGTAAGGCTTAATAAGAATTATAGTAAAGTCACTTAGAATGAAAACCATCGAGTCATCCGTTATGTTTATGTATTCAACAATTTTAACTGACTTTCAAATTTAAACCCAGTCTCTATATGGATATATCTGAAATAAGTGCCGGTCTGATTGGCTGGGCGCAACGCTCGCACGCAGACTTTGCTTTAAACCTTACACTTCATACCAGAAGTACTTACGGTGTACCGTTTTGACATTTTAGAGGAAAGGTGCAACGGTGACGAAGACTGAATCAATCACTAGTGTTTATTCGCCACTGCACTCAAAAGTGGAGTCAGACGTGGAAATTGCAACGCTAGCGGGAAGTGCATCAAACATTATGTTAAAAGAACAATCAAGCGCGGAGGAAATTAGTCAAGATGCCAGATCCTTTGCGGTACATTTCTGTGAGGAACGATTCTTCCAGGCATCAACAAATGAAAGGAAATCAGTTTGCTTATCGTTGGTAAGGACAAAGCGTTTCGCAATTGCGATTCTAACATTGTTGGTGATCGTTGGAATTTCTCTAGCAACTATCTTCACCTTACGGGGTAAGCCAAGCGATCTTCTTTGCTTTATATAGTCACATTATGTAAACCAGGAGCTATTACTTGCGGGGTTGTGAGAGTTTATATTTCCCCGCAAAAAAAAAAAANAGACTTTGCTTTAAACCTTACACTTCATACCAGAAGTACTTACGGTGTACCGTTTTGACATTTTAGAGGAAAGGTGCAATGGTGACGAAGACTGAATCAATCACTAGTGTTTATTGGCCACTGCACTCAAAAGTGGACTCAGGCGTGGAAATTGCAACGCTAGCGGGAGGTGCATCAAACATTATGTTAAAAGAACAATCAAGCGAGGAGGAAATTAGTCAAGATGCCAGATCCTTTGCGGAACATTTCTTTGAGGAACGGTCCTTCGAGGCATCAAAAAATGAAAGGAAATCAGTTTGCTTATCGTTGGTAAGGAAGAAGCGTCTCGCAATTGCGATTCTAACATTGTTGGTGATCGTTGGGATTTGTCTTGCAGCTATCTTCACCTTACCGGGTAAGCTAGGCGATCTTCTTTGCTTTATATAGTCACATTATGTAAACCAGGAGCTATTACTTGCAGGGTTGTGAGAGTATATATTTTCCCGCAAAAAAAAAAAAAAAAAAAAA